CGGGGTGGAGAACCCTCACTCCGCGCAAGGGGGATGATGGCACCACGTTGTGTTAAAATGGTCAAGCACCCTCGAGGCAGTTACACAGTGCTTACAACTGTCTCTGGAAGTGAAAGCACCAGAAAATAATTAATTCATACGCAGCTGTCATCCGTACGCAAGGAAGTAAGCACAAGATGCTTAACACCCTTAGCAGGATGCACCGCACCCTTCATGCGGCTCGCCGAATATCTCACGGCGCTTCGCGCTTAGTGATGTGAGAGCCTAGTCCGGTGAGAACCCGGCGTGCTCCGTCCCGGCTTTGTAGGGATGCGAGGTCAATGGTCTAACGACTACGGCATGCACGACTACGAGTACACCTCCCCCCCCTTCCCCCCTCCGCACCAGCATTATTTGAAACGGAGATCCCCCTCCTTGTCGCTCATCTGAACCTGCCGGCGGGTGGGGTCACCGGACACCCCGTGAGTCACCCCTCACCACCTTCATGTGTTGTTATCTTGCAGCTGCCACTTTTTGGGGGTCTGTTCTTATCCGTAAGCGCTTTGGTGCAATACCAATACGGGCTCTTGTTCTTAATACCCAATCGGAACTGAGCACGTGTTCTTATGGCCAAATTTCTTAAATTTTGAATTTATCGAGGCTGGCTGCATTTCTCAACTGCGAGCGCCATCTGTATCCATATTGCATTAGACAGCTCGCTAGGTGTCGGCTACGGGGCAGCTGCTAAGCCCTGGCCGATCAGGTATGCCTAATTTTCTTTACCTTGGGGCCACTCTTTTACCTTTTTTTCAACCCTCTCAGGCAGCCTCAGGCCTCACTTGTTGCCTGAGAGCAGCGCGTGTCTGTGTGAAAGATAGTCTAGTCTAGATGTTTGTCTGAGACCATGTTTTTTAGTTGCCTGACTGCCCCTACCTAAGATCAGGCAGCTCTAGGCATCATACAGAGAAGAGCCACAACGATCAGCCCCGTATGACCCGCCACTATGGTTGGGGACATACAAGTAAGTGATCGAGTATTATTGTAGGTTTTGCGTTTTGCAGGCAAGTCAAGGCGACACAAAGAATATCCGGCATCTCCCTCTGAGGAATGGAAAATGGACGTCCGGCAAACGTCTTGAATTTTCCTGGGCCCAATTTTCGCCTGCGGCGGGCTTCGCTGCGTTTGCCTGAGAACGCCTTCGGCGTGCCTGATCGGCCAGGGCTTAGCGGCTGCTGTGGACATGGACGGAGGACGGATGACGGACGGACGAGGGACGGACTGGGACGAACGGACGAACAACCAAACCGCACCAAACGAAACAGCGAACAACGAACCAACGGAAGAACCAGGTTCTACTCTGCCTTTCTCGCCTATTCCCTCTCGCCGCTCGCGCCCGGCGAAGAAGGCTAGCATGTTGGTTTGGTTTCAATTTGCTTGTGGTGATGTTGTGCTGTTGTGCTGTTTGTTGTTGTGGTGTGCCTCCATTCTGACAACAGTAGGCGTTCGTGAGCGCGTGTCCCAGTGTGTCCATTAACATTGTTCCTCCTTCTAAGGAAAAGGGGGGGGAAGGCATCAGGGCGCACGTAGGCGGGAGAAAGAGGTTGTAAATCAAGAGGGCAGAAAGCCGTTTGAATAACATTACATCGGCGACTTCGCTGTCTACGAGGAGTGCTATAACGTTGTCACCGAGTGATGGCGGAATCAGCGAATGAGGACTGGTTCGCCAGCGACTCTAACGACCCTGGACCGAGCTTGGAGGATTTCTTGGCTACAGACCCTTCCCAGTTACCCTTCCTGCAGGAGCGCCCGGCAACGGCGGAGGACTTCGTGCGATATCAAATATTTGTCGACGGATGGACCTCTATTGAACACCTTCAACAGGTTAGAGTGCCCTAGGTGTGTCGGCGCCTTAGGCAGAACAGCATCGCGACGTGCTATCGTGCTCCTGCTTCACATGAAATGTCATCTACCTGCCCAAGTGTCTATTCCAACTTTGCCCCTTCTTCACTGACTTCCATGTTCTTATCACCCGCCCAGCTTCGGGAGTCAGTCCTGGAACTCGTGGGTTCGATTACAGCGGGCTTCATCTGGCACCGCGAGGCGTTCGCGCTGTCAGTCGCCGTACCTTCCGACGGAGATCTTGAGCCTCATCTCACCGGAGAGCAGGTGTTCGGAGGCAATGTTTCCGACGAGTGGTTCGTGTGCTACCTTCTGTTCGCAATAACTTCGACGTTCTCCGAGTGAGTGGCGTTTTGGTGCTCGCGCGGCGTATTGGGTTGTCTTCCGCGCGCACAAATACACTCGACGCTGTCTTTAGGGGAGGGAGGGGGGGGAGGTGTACTCATACTCATAGTCGTGCATGCCGTAGTCGTTAGACCATTGACCTCGCATCCCTACAAAGCCGGGACGGAGCACGCCGGGTTCTCACCGGACCAGGCTCTCACATCACCAAGCGCGAAGCGCCGTGAGATATTCGGCGAGTCGCATGAAGGGTGCGCTGCATCCTGCTAAGGGTTTTCGGCATCTTGTGCTTACTTCCTTGCGTACGGATGACAGCTGCGTATGACTTAATTTATTTTCTGGTGCTTTCACTTCCAGAGACAGTTGTAAGCACTGTGTAACTGCCTCGAGGGTGCTTGACCATTTCAACACAACGTGGTGCGATGATTCCCCTTGCGCGGAGGGAGGGTTCTCAACACCGCACAGCATGATCTACTCGACCACCATTATGGTTACCGCCAAAAAAAAACAGAGGCAAAAGAAAAGAAACGGTAACCTGGTTGCCGAGTTCACGAAGTGAATTGGCTTGTTTTACAACGTCGTTGCCAAGCGACGAAAACCCAATCCCGATGGCAAACACCGAGGGATGGGAGGGAGGGGGAGAGACAAATAGAGAGAGAAGACAGAGAGACAGAGAGAGAGAGAGGGAGAGAGGCAAAGGAGGTGATGTGAGCAAAGTCCCTTTTGTACAAGCATTCGGTTGTCACTGGCTGGCAATCGCGAAGTCTTTGTAGGTTGCACAAGACGTCTTGCAGCAACCAGCAGGGTATCAATCGAGTAGTCGGCTGCACGTGCGGCCACTGTTTCAGGTTGGGGAAGTGCAAACGGTTGGGGATATCGTTTTCGTCACATCGTTTTCGCCATACAAGGCTTCAGCTCCTCGCACCTGGGGCTGTGTTACATTTTTCCCTCAGGTTGACTGCGTGCATTACCGACAACGACGGCGAATTCTTGCTGATCGAGGCCGCCACCGCGATCCCACCTTTCCTCTCCCCAGGCAACAGGTGAACGTTCGACAAGTATAGTGGTACGATTACCCTTTTAGCAGGGGAAGTGATGAGACGACAGCGCTGCCATGGGTCTTTGTTCAGTATGTTCGCCTAACGGATACACTTTGGGGGACGTTTACTTGCAATTTTCAAGTAAGCACGGGCTGGTCTTCGTGCTTGAAGTGTTCGTTCGATATTACGCGCTGGTCTGTCACGTGCGCGCTCAATTGGTACCTTGCTCTAGCAACTCATCTAACGTGGCTCAAATGCACCTTTGCTCTCGAGATCTTTGCGTCATTGTCAGTGCTGCAATGCATGCAATGTGGTCATGCAAATGCACCGTTTGTAGATTGCTGCAGACATATGTTAGCCATCTTTGGACGACGTTGCTTCTAAAAGTTGATACATGCACCAAAACACGTGGAAGCTAGCACTTGTTCGCCAATCCCCCCCCCATCCCCCCCGATGCGCTTCGCGTCGCCCTTAAAGCAATCATCGGGTATGGATCAGATCCGGCGAAGTGCACCTGGTGATGCCTGGGTGCATGGTGCACAGGGCCAGAACCCCACGCACTCTGGGAGCGGGCAGCATCACGCTTTCTGAGGTGTGCCGTGCGGATTGGTAGCAGCCATGTCCAATATGCTTCAGGCTGACGGTGGTAAACTTGTGTCCATGTTACCATGTGAGCACATGTATATTCCATCCGTTTGTGTGTTCGAATGCCAAAGGTCACACCAATACCTACGCCAGGTGCTGTAAAGAACGCGCCACAAGAAGTAAATAGACCACGAGTTGTGCGCATGGGATGACGCTTTAAGGTTGCGAAACGGCATATTTGCATGGTGGTGCCGCTTGGCAGGGATTGAAAGCGGTCCGAGAGAGCGACGGCGGAACCAAGGCCGACGAGGGTGTACAGCAACTCATCAGGCGCCGAATCGAAGGCTACCCGGAGGAAGCTATGGCCAACATGCACCACGCGAGGTCAGTCAGGACGAGGTGCTCTTCGCCCTGCAGAACAGAAGTCCGCAAATCTCGAGAGTCGAAACAACCAGTTTCTTCCGCAATTTGGCACAACCTTGACCTGCACGCCAAACGTGCCCACAGGCAAGCATCGCCTGACGAATTGTCCCCTTTCCACGCAATAGGTGTTTCCTTCCCCTGGCTGCAGCGTTAGCGTTCCGAGACACACCCAGGCTGGTGGCCCCTGCAGTTAGCGCTTATTGCTCGGGCGACCCCGTCGACAGGAAGATGGGAGTTCGTATGGCTCGACTTCTCGCATTACCCGCCAGTGCATCTGGAGTGAGCGCCGCGGGAAGCAAGGGAGCTGGCTCACAACCAGGAGCCCCTCGGTTTGTTGAGGCCCGGATTGCCTTCACCCGTCACTTGTATGCGCAATTGCACCAGGCGGCTGTCGTACCGACTAAGGCCTTTCCTCCAGGGTAAGAACCAACGCCCGGAATCGCTGATGTAGATAGATGACCCATCTCGCGATCGCCTTGCCCAGTGACGTTGTGTAGGGCCGTGTCGAGCTGGAAGCATGATGTATGTGCTCCACGTGTTTGCCGGCGGTCGAACGGAAACCGGCGTTCGTCTGCATGGTGAAACGCGTAATAGTGTGTGCATCACAACCAGGTTGTGGACGAGGTTTGTTCATCATGCCCGTGGTTTCGCTTGGTTGATCTGTGACGCGACCAACTGTGTGTGTACCCCTGCTGACATCACGACTTGTTGTGCCACGTATGTACGTGGACGGGCTCTAGGTGGGGTCCCAGCAGAAGCACTCTTGCCCCTGCTGCACATGCGAAAGCCGCACAGCTGGGGCAGAAGCTCTCCATGGGTTTGGAGGCGGCCTACCAGGTACGTGCATGTACGAACGCGCGTTTTACTCCCTACTGAACGATAGGTTTCCTTCTTGCTGTCGTATGGGCATGGTGATGTTTGGTGCGCACTCCGAAGAACCGGCTTGTCCGATTGCCTGGACGTGCCCAGAAATGCCGTTTGTTTTTACAAACTAGCGTTCCACTATTGATCGCATCATCTGAGCCAGGCGTGTGCCGAGAGCAGCAAGAACGGTGGAGGAGACTTGAGCGGCGCAATTCGACCTGAAACCTGGAAACGATTTGCAGACGGTTTAGTACGGAACGGTTTCTTCGAGGGGGAACTGGAGGGGTCGAAGAGGTATCGAGAAAAGACCGCGATGGCGGAGGTGAGATGAAAAAATGACATATAGCAATCGTGTGTTTGCACATCGACTATGGTCGACAAGACGTCTACCAAGGCTCAGGTGAGACCAGCGTACACTAGGACGGTGAACGGGGTTTTTCATTCCCAGTAGCATTCAAGCAGGCCTCTAGATGTAACCGCTCTCCGAGGGCTCAGGCAGGGAGTGATAAGTTAGCTTTTATGGACGACCGACTTCTGTTGTTTTTCACCCTTTATTTGCCGTTAATCGCCTGTGACGTTGCTGATGTTGCTGGGTCAATGGTTGTGATGCAAGCGCATGGAATGAATGCTGTTGCGAGACGAGACGCCAAGTGTGTCTAGATCTTCGTAGGCTCTGAGGTTTCCGCTGACGTTTTTTGATGCTCGTGCGTGTGCTTCTCGCGCTCATTGTTGGACGCTCCAGCAATTCATACGCAATAACGTTCTATGTGTCGATGCCGATGGTGGCGAGGACGAAGACATTGCGGCCGCCCAGAGGGACCGCCGACGATGCCCTGTCCACCAAGTGGTGGATCGGACTCTCAACGACCCAAGATTGGATTGTGTGTTCGATGCGTTCGGCGAAGAAGACGATAAGGTAATGGTTTGCCGTCACTTCAAGGGCTACTGGATTCGTTCTCTTCATGAAAGACGAACTGCCCACCACGACTCAAGAGCTCTTGGTCTGTTTTCAGGGAACAGCCACGAGGGAGATGAAAAGCACGTGTGCTACACACGTCGGAAGACCCATTGTTGTTGTTATTGTTGTTGTTGTTGTTGTTGTTGTTGTTGTTGTTGTTGTTGTTGTTGTTGTTGTTGTTGTTGTTGTTGTTGTTGTTGTTGTTATTGTTGTTGTCCTCTCCACATTAAAAGCCGTTCCGATCTCTGCTCAGCACCTTGCTCCGTTCATATTGGTCCAACTGACGCGGACGTCTTCCGCGGTCACAGGCTAGCTAGCTGCTTAAAAGAGGGTACATTGTGAATAATCGAAGACAAGATAAAGGGCACACAAGAATTCATACCAGAGCGGACACCGGATGAACATTTTCGAACGACGTGGTGTACCTCCTCCCCTTGTTTGCAATACAGGAAGACTGGATGGAAGTGTCTCAAGCCGACTTGGACATCATGCTCCAAGACTATCGTCGTGCGGAGGTGAGAATGCTCCACCGATCGATGGGTCGTTTGAAGCCATGAGTCAAAACAAAACACAAAGCCCCTTTATATTGAAGTTGCTTGTTAGCGGGATGTGTCCAACCACGTATGTTTTCGCCTGTATGTATGAATTGCTCCGTTGCCTTTTTATCACTTGTCAGGAGTTAGTTCATCTCGAATAGGCGATGTGTGGCGCGTGTGAGGTATTTTGAGCGAAGTCTGCCGTGTACCTGATGGTTCTACACTCGGCGCTCACCCGATTAGATTCGACATGCTGTTGTCCTTGCGTGATATCTCCAGGCTGATCTGGATCCAGAGCAGGAGGGCCGAGGCGACAGAGGTGTGAACGGTGTCGTGGGCGATGATGACAATGAGCGGGACAGATCAAGAGATGTGGCTACATCCGGTGCTCATGGAACTGCCACAGATGAAGAGAAAAATGAACAGGATAGCCACGCCGGTTTCGCCGACGCTGTGGATGGGCTGGATGACATTGTGACCGGCATGAACGCCTTTGTGGACGACTCAACAGCGGGGTTGGATGGCGCGGAGGTGGAGGCGGTAGGAGGACACGTTCAGTTTGATGCGGAGAAGTTCATGAGCTTGCTCAACGGGGAAGACCTCATGTGAGTCGTTCTATTTAGCTATTCAGTTGCCCAATGGCAAGGGCCGGAGGTTTGGTATTGATATCAACATCTTGGCCAAAGCGAAAAAGGAGCAGCTGTGTTTTCGTTTCATGTCGAAGTGGTCTTTGGCTCTCCACGGAGCCTGCATGGACGAGGACCTGTCCCAGCAGCACCAACTATCACTGCTGTGTTTGCTGTGCAAAGCGAATCGCGATCACTATCATGGTCCGCCATTCTCACCCAGCAAGTGTAGGCAACCATCGTACGCCCGCTCTCGCAATATGAGAACCTGTGTTTCAAATCGCTTCGTTCGGTGAATCGGTTTGTGACGCTAAGCAGGGAGTCATTTACACATGCCGTGAAGCTTGCGCTGCAACTGCTCTTCGCGCCACGCCTCGTTGTCGATATGTCAATATCATGCTTTCAGGAGTGCACTTGAAGATGCTGCGAAGGAGGATGCGCATGATGAGTTGGGCGACAGCGACGACGACCTGTTGGAATCTAGCGAGGAAGAGGACGAAGATGAAGTTGACACCCCGCAGCGCATGCCAGACCCCAAAGCGTCGGAGAGCGCGGGCCTGACAGACCCCTCGGCGTGTGGCTCCAGAACCCGGTCTAGCTTAGCCGTGAACGTGTCCCCAAACACCCCGGCGAAGAGCAGCGACCTTGTGGACGATTCACATATTCAGACGCGGAGCGGCGTGCGACCATCCGTGGCGTTCCAAATGCAGGAGATGGAAGGCCGTCCGAGCGAAGAAGACGGCCTGGGCAGCGATGGGCGAGAGCAGGACGGTGGCCACGAAAGCAAAGCAAGTTCCGGAAGCGCCGAAAATCTCATTCGCGAGTACATGGTGAGTGGGGCTCAGATGGGGAGGCACGTCGATTGTCACTGGGGGCTGTGTATTTGATGGGACAGACACACGTTTACCTCTCCGGCATGTATGGTTCTTGCTCTTGACGGAACGCTGGCGTTCTGCGTTGACGGTAAAGTACACGTTCTTTGCTGCCAGTGGACCACCCTCTGAATCATACCGGCTTATGAACAATGGTTGTTTGTGGTTGATTGTATGGTCCGACATCGTGTCTGGTGGTGCGAGTGTGTGGGCATGAGTGTGTTTCGTAGTTGCATTGGCCGCGCTGACCGGCTGACCCACCAAAAAAAAAGCCAGCGTGTGCATTTCAAGGTCCCCGGAAGGGAGGGCAAAAATTGTCCAAATTCCAAGAATGAGTGTCGTCCAGAATGCCAGGATAAACCTCTCTACAAATCCTTTGCGAGAGGGACACGCCCCGGTGGTCTAGTGGGTAGCCTCGCAGCCTGCTAAGGGCCAGGTCATGGGTTCGAGTCCGGACAGAGTGAGTTTTTTCTCGCTAATTAAATCCTGGTCTAGGATGAAAGCGACGCGTTGCAAAGCTCGTTGTCAGTAAACCATAATCGACTTCGTAAGTCGCGAGGGAAGGAATTGCTGTACCCCTCTCGCGATAAAAACATCTCAGGCAGGAACCGCAGGAGGGGGTCCAACCCCCCCCTCCTGTGTGACCCCGGTTGGGTCGTCTAGCTGGTAGAAGTGGAGGATAGGGGCCAGAGGGGCAGACGACAGAATCCAATGATGGAGAAAAACAAAAAACCAAACAACATCAAAGCTTCACGCAAGCCCTCACCCGCACCTAAGAAGCCACTGATGCAAAGAGTAGAGGGCAGAAGAACGAGTAGTTCAAACCCATCCATTCCGAGACATTGAAAATTGTTATGCATATGCTTACGGTATACGACACAACATAGTACACCCCGGGGGATACCTTTTGGCTCTTCATATTTTCACAGGGTGTTGTATTCTGTGGGGTGTGTGCCAGCTTGTGTAGCCAGGGTGACAAAATGCAGGTCGTGGGAGCCATGAAAGGGTCGTGGTAACCAGGGAGCGTGATAACACTATCGCACACTTGCAGGGACTGAAGTTGCGTGAAACCTAAGCTGTGTGTGACCACCGCCTCCGAAGCAGTACCTACCTTGCCTTCGACCACACGTGCGGGGGGGCGGTGTACTCGTAGTCGTGCATGCCGTAGTCGTTAGACCATTGACCTCGCATCCCTACAACGCCGGGACGGAACACGCCGGGTTATCACCGGACCAGGCTCTTACATCACCAAGCGCGAAGTGCCGTGAGGTATTCGGCGAGTCGCATGAAGGGTTCGCTGCATCCTGCTAAGGGTGTTCAGCATCTTGTGCTTACTTCCTTGCGTACGGATGACAGCTGCGTATGACTTAATTTATTTTCTGGTGCTTTCACTTCCATAAGACACTTATGGGCACTATGTAACTGCCTCGAGAATGCTTCACCGATTTAAGATAAGGTCGTGCGATGATCCCCTAAAAGGAATTGCGCGGAGTGAGGGTTCTCGACCCCGCACAACATAATCTACTCTACCCCCAAACGTGAAGGCAAAAAAAGCGAAACCTGGTTGCCGAGCTTAGGGAGTGATCGACTTGTTTTACAACATCCCTGCGAAGCGATGAAAACCCAATCCCGATGGCAAACACCGGGGGCGGGGGACACGTGTGAGGGCGTGGTATTGAGCGAGGGGCGTACGCTTATGTTTTGCATGCCTTAGCGGTTAGACCATTGACCACGCGTCCTCTAGGACGGAGCATTGTTCCCACAGGACCGATCACCAATGGCCAATCGTTCCTTGCTACTTTGCCAAAGGTGGCTCAAAATTGTCTTCCCTATTTTATCTATCCTTTTTCGATATCACTTCCTCTTTTTTAACCCACTTCCTATGCCCTAGTACAGCTACCGTCTTCTCATGGGTACTCCTTGCCTCAGGCATCTCCCTGTGCTTTCCTTCCACTGGTGGTTTTGAGGGGGGGGGGTGACACCCCTGTATGAAAAAAAAACTGCACTGCTGCCGCACTGGCAGGGTGTGTGGTACTGAGCAAGGGTGATAGCACTGACACCACTGACTACAGCAATGAAGCTCATGCCGAGCATTGTTTGGTCGTGTCGGAGTGAGGGGTAGGTGTTATACACATAGACCCGGCATGAACGCCGACAGCCATCTCCCGAAGCAGCGAAAAATAGTGTTGCCATGTAATAAGAAGGGGTTTTCATCCATCACTTTCGACTGTCACAAAGAAAGTATGCACATATGGCGGGGGAGAAATCAAATTGGTTGGTTTGCATTGTAGTACCGCTACGTGGTGGTTCCCCCGCACTCAAGAGGGTGTGCTGCGTACGTTCCCTGCTGGGCCACCTTGCATGTCACCAGGAACCACTCCCGAGTCATCACTGGGGCAATAGTAGCATGGGCTTCGTGATTACGCGCGTCCTAACCTCACAGGAAGTGATATCTCATGCAACCCGGGTGGTATTTCGGCTCCTCGTTTGAAATCCAAAAATATTAGCACCGGGTGTTGTATTCCTGTGTGAATGTGCTATCTTGTGCCGTATGATATAAAGTATGTATTTCAATTTTCATACCGTGCGTACGCTCCCAAAAGATCCAACGGTCATAGCGTCGATAGCCAGAGTCAAACCAGTCAGAAAAATGTATGTTGTCATCGTGACCTTACGCAAGCCCTCACCCAGCTTGAATGTATGTGTATGTCCCCGCCCCTCGTAATATCCCCCTTCTTACATTGATTTTTTCTAAGACAAACACAGTTCTCCTCTTCCCGAGGATGTTTCAGAGGATCGCACGATCTTACGGTAATCCCTCAACACGGACGGGGCACCTCTCTCTGTCTTCGGCGCTTGTTTGCGTGAGACACTTGAAGAACCGTCGTGTTTCTTCGGTGAGTAAGTGCCAGTTCCTTGTACCAGGTACTTCCTCGCATGTAAGTAAACAACACGCAACACCCCTGTGTCCCGACAACTATAGGCGGCGATGGAGATTGAACTCGAGCCGTCATCAATGGGGGAGAGCTTTGAGAAAGTGGGAGCATCCATCCCTGAAGCCCAGATCAAAGAACTACAAACGGTTGGTCCTCTGGATCAAAACGGAGAACCAGCCCCCGAGCAGTGGCTTCGAGACGGCAAGGCACCATCGTCGACAGGTGTGCAGTCGTGACGTAGACTCGATGTGTTTAAGCTATCGTGGTGTGCCAAGGTGCTGAAGACGCACGGGACGAAAAGTTGGGATACAAACCATCGCGGTATTGGCCGCACGTGGATGCCTGCATCCTTGCTTGGCATGGCCATGCATACGGAGTAGTATCATCCGCCATGCGATGTTGCTTTCCCCCCTTGAACGAAGCACCTGTTGTTGCGTGTACGCATCTGTTTCGGCGTTCAAATGATACCGACCTTCGTGACCCTATTAATAATGACCGTTGTGTGTTGTTCCAATGGTCCGTTGCTGGTTCCAGGCGAAGGCGACGAGCTAGACAACAATGCCGATGTGCCAACCGACGACTACAAACCGGTGGATGTGGACATGAACTTGGTGAAACATCTCCTAGAATCAACAGTCTCGCAAGGAGGGTTGTCGGGTCCTGCATCGAATTTACTTCGTTCGATGGGTCTAAACTTCCCTTCAGTACCGCCAGGCAGGACTGCAAAAGATTCCACCAAAATCGAAGAGCTGTGACCCAAGTCTCTTCTCGTACGAGTTGGAAGCCAAGGAGGCAGGCAGACAGAGTTGTCGCAGGAGACTAGCCGCCCATCACATCCTTGCCGAGCTGGCCTGGGAGTCCAGCACCGCCTTTTTTTGCGGCACTACTTGCTGTGTCTTCCATCGGAGAGGCAAGCTGACCAGGAAGTTTCTCCATTGGTTGCCCCCCCGAAAAGCGCCCTGTTTCTCGGACGATGTCCTGCAGCTGTTCCGGCGTGACGGCGGTGTCCTCATAGTAACCTTGGTCAGCTTCGTCATCAAAGGCATCCAATAGCTCAATATCCATCACAAGCTCTCCGGTCGTCGTTTTCTCGAATGATGTCAAGACCTTCATCATGTATAACAAGGGCGGCGACGAAAGGCGTATGATTGGCGCCATGTGAACGCTTTGCGCGTATATCCCCCTTACTTTTTTGCAAGTCGTATTGTGTCTTGTGTTCTGTTGTGAGAGGTAAGTTATTATTGTCGCACGTTGGGTTTTATATCATTGTTTGTGCCTAAGCCTGTGACCACGGGAATATCCATTGTTACAAAGTTGAATCAACAGTAGTGAGATGCCAGCTGTAGGCCAGAATATGTATTTTATGTAGAGCGGAGAAAACAACAAAACCATCGACTTTTGACAAGTGTACACGAGCGTTCAGTTGGGACGATTTGTTTCGTGGAAGCATAAAGTTGACTTCACTGCTGACGAGGTTCAGCGCCTGACAGAGTAGGCTGAATCTTTCGTGGGGGAAGCGCTAATAAAGGAAGACGGAGAAAAATATTGGTGTGTCTGCGTCTGTCTTGCTGTGTAGTCACGGCTGGTGCGTCCATACATACCGCAATGTTCCCTGACTAGCCTGACATTCTGGAAGACGAGATGACATAAATCAACAGCACACCCAAATTACAGAACATCCTGTGCCTCGTCGGCCTCTTGTCAATCATGCGCTCGGTACCGGTGATTGTAGACAAAGAATAGTGACGTGATGAATCTTTGGCGGTCAGAGAGGCTAGGCAGGTATATTAATCTGTCGGGGCTGCGCGGTTCGTGACTTGAGATAGTTGATCTCGAATCATCAACACAACTCATTGGCCAATTATATCAAGACCACGACGATTGTTGGCACACGACCATGGACTGGCTGTGGCAAAACCCACCTCGACAAGAATATCCCGTTTTCTTGGATCTGCAGGGTAAGGCCCGAGGCCTTGAACACTGTATCCCATTGATTGCGGCATAATTACTCGTCGCTTTCCCCCAACTCTCATGCTGTGCATGCCCTCTTCCATCCCTTTGATCTGCGCGGACACATGTCACCACGTCACGATGTAGCAGTTGAGACGTGACGCACAGAGACCGCACGTTGTGCATGGCAAAGACCAGGAGTGATATCGAGCAAGATAATGCCTAGCTGACACCGTGATTGTTCCTTTGTTTCGACCTGCCACCGCGAAGTTCTTACTGCATCGCAGGCTACAGTGCGATAAACCGGCAAACTTAGAAGCTAACATAGGTGTGTCAGAGTGCCCAACTGCACTTCTACCAAGGTGTTAGCTAACCTGGAAACCATTCCCGTGCTTGAAAAGATACGTCTCCTTGTTGTTGTCGGATGACTGGATCTTGATCAACTTTTCATCTGGTGTAGATCGCCCATACATCGTGAATCGGATAATGCAGTCCTGGCCCCATCTGACAGCAGGTCGGCGCGTGTCATAAAGCAGAATGTGAAAAGATGGAATCGTCCTCGACAGACGTTGTGAGATTGTATCTTAATCAAGCTGATCTCCACATTACCCCCCCCCCTTTTTGAGACTTCTTGTTTGCTAGGCAAGAGAGAGATGTCTTATAGGGGTAACCGGAACCCGACCGGCTGGCGGCGGGGCGATTCACTTGTTAGCGATCCTCTGTGCGTGATTTCATGGGTTCGCTTTGTGCGCCACGTCATCAGAAGTTCCGAGTTCGATAGCCAGTGGGTCCTTCTTGGCCTACCCACTGTTTTTCTTTTTTGTCCTATTTGTTCCGGAAGAAAAGTTGGGTGAGCGGCGAGATTTGAACCCGTGTCTTTTGCAACCAAAAGCTGACACCCTGACATCTCTTCGTCGCTGCCAATGAGGACACAGGTTCCTGTCAAAGACTGAGGTCGGTGCCGTTGCAGTATTCACCCACTGCCAAGGGTGGCTTACTTCCTTCCGTGAGATGTAGCGAGGAGAGAGAGGTAGAGAAGTGACCAGAGGGCAGAGGGAGAAGAGCCGAAGACTCTCCGCGTCTACCCTCGGCAAGCGGCCAAAGACCGCGGGAAGAGACAGATCTCAACGGTGCATTTCTTGTCACTCTCCTCATGGCAAGCTACCCCGATGGAGTTGTATCTCGCTGCTTTGAATGTGCACAAGTGGTTGGTACTTCCGACAGGCGTCCTCCAAAAAGTGCCAAACATAAATGGTACTAAGTAGGATGCTATCGAACAAGACTGCTGCGGGCATGTACGCGGGCAGCCCGGTCATCTAACGTTGCTGTAACTGTCCATACGCGTCTTTGGAGAGGGGGCGGGGGGATCAGGTCACGTACGCATACGTGTATGGACCGTACAGTTGATCGAAACACATCCTTCAAAACACGAAATATTTTCGCCGCACCTGGGACTTGGCCCTTCCCCGACGCGGAAATCGAAGTACTTGATGCCGGCTTTGGTGATTTTTCCTACAGTCGGTACCTCCTCCTCCTGCATCCCTGCTGCTTCCGCTCGTCCAGATAGTGCTTGTCCACAAATGACGGCAGACCCAACAATCCCCATCTGTTGATGCAGGACAGAGAACGATGGGCCGACCAGAGGAGGAACGAAAACAAAGTAAAAGTCATGTCGTGGCCGGTCAGGTCACCATCTATCTCACCGCCATTTGAAATGCAACCCTAATTTTCTTGTCCCATCTGTGCATTACCCCTGTACAGCCTCCCTTTTTCTGAACCACAGCTGTGGTATAATTATGGGCACACATTTGTTTTCTTCCGAAGGCCCCCCATATATTTTCAACGACACATACCTTCAAGGATAGAAGCGCCTTTTATCGATGTCAACCGAATATAGAATTTGGGATGCTCGCAAACCAGCGCTACGTACGGCCGGACAGGAGGGTTCACAGACCTATTTTTTCGTCCAAAGGGAGTCCAAGTGCACATACCACACGGTGCGCTTGTCACGTTGTGCAGCCAATGAGAACGGGCTCGCTTTGACAAGAGCCCACCGCGGAAAGCAGCCCGGTATCACACCGTCTTACATTATTGATGTACGAGTAGGTTTATCGATTTGCGTGTTGAGGTAATAATGCAACGATGGAACCCGAACGCTGGGGTGTTTTCCCAGATCTAAATAGGAAGCTGCGACCTTCGCTATGCGGACGGGTTTTTACACGTGGGGACGATCTGACGGGGGTAAATGGTTGTAAGCTCCCGCTGTTGTCTACCCCCACATTGCTTGTTTTTCTCGACTAGACATCGCACTCCGGAACGACTTTCACAGCACAATTACTCCACAACCAAGAGGGTAAAAAACCGATCGCTACGCGCTAGGAAAGCTCTGGACAAGGTAGTTCGAAAACAATCCTTTCCAGGGTTGGCAACCTGTTGAACATCGGCCAAGCGTGTGCGGTGACTCGCGCTGCCGTTCGCGCCATGCTTGGATTTCGACCGATTTCGTGGACATTTTTTCGTTTACACTGCCCACAATTCCATCCTCCTTTAACCTGCATCGAACGTTACCAATCTGGGTACATATCGATTCGACGCAACTGGAGTCATCGTGTACTTCACGCGAGACTGATGTGGGGTTGGCCTAGCCACGCTGCTCAAAATTGTGCACGATCAAAGGGCCTATCTTCCGGGTACTCGGGTGAGCAGCGAGGATAACCCTGGAAGAGGGGCTACTGCAGCCAACTAGAGCAGCATGCAGCATCTATGCTAACGCAAGCACTCGCGTGCTGTGGCGATCTGCGCCTTACAAAGGATGCCGTTGCTTCGTTGAAATGTTTGTCAACATACACGTCCGGTCCGAGCAGTTCGAGTGTTTTTCATCGTGGCGAAGTCTGTGGGTTGGAGCTTCGTGAGGGATACCTGTTTCCCGAGGTACTAGGGGGGAAGGTTTGTGATAAGCACAACGGTAATAATGTAATAATCGACCGCGACGTTTCCAACATTAAAGCAAGTTTGGGGATAAAATCTCAGGCATGAGGCAACGACAAGGGATGGACAGGCCAGGCAAAAGGATGAAGTATGGGTGGATCCCGTGCCGTAGCCGGAGGCCTCATTTCATCCCAACTCTACATCGTCGACAACTATCCCGCAGTAAAATAATGTCGAAATCATGGAACCGCGAAGGGGCTCCGCAGATGAGAACAAATTGCCTGCAGAAAGGCTTGGAGAGAGCACCCACTGGTGACAAGCTTTCCCAACCCTAACGGAGGGAAAAATACGGTAGGAATAACAGCCGTGCCACCCGCCCAACGACCCACCCAACGGTATCTATTTGTTTGTTTTGTTATGTTACAGGTGTTGTTACTGTCTGCGCGATAGCCGCGTTGACGACACGGAGGACGTCGACGCGGGGGTAGTAACCCTGGGTGGAGTCTCCAGGCTTTCCGTAGCCGGAGGCCTCATTTCATCCGTACACACACTTGTTGCTCCTACATGTAAGGGTTCTCCTTGGGTTGCACCTCCGCCGGTTACCGACTGGCCACAGCAACCACAAACAGCGGCCTCACCACTCTCAGCTATAAAATTTTACCATCGTCTCGATACGGTCGGCAGGGAAAGAGGGACACATTCTTGCAGCCTTTCCGGGCGCGTATTCGAGTTGCTGTGCTTCGAAAACGTCAGGTATCACAGGTACACTTGCCCCGTTGCCGGAGTGCCGGCTGCCGATGGGAGGCAGCTCCCCGTCGCGGTGACTCGTGGTATTGAAGTACTTATGGTGGCCGTACATTCGTACGAAATTCGTGACAATTGAACCTACTTTGACGGCCCACACTAGCTCACAGAGGTACTGCTATATCTGGCGGACTGCAACGGCCGCCGTCCGCTGCTTTACAGCAGTACTGCTGTGCAGTATATTGTAGGAGATTCAGAAAGACTATCATATCGCATGCATACGATACGTTCATGTCTGCAAAACACATAACAAAGGGACGCTCCTCGAATTGCTGAAACTTCATGTGGCCGATAGTCACAAGCCATCACGACGTACCGATCGGAGCAAGTCCATTCGTGAACATGGCACGCCAGCGTTTCCTCCACTCTCAGGCTCTCGTCCTTCTCCTATCCGTTCCCCGTCCCCTCTGCCAGCCGGAAGGGCGACACATGTTTCTCTACTGACGGTTGCAGTGCTTCGAACCCAGGGTGAAGCTCTGAATCCGAGAACCTCAAGGTCGACAAACATCAACACCACCAGAGCTGTACACGCGAAGAATTTTGGAATGACGCGTGATAGTCCCCACCGCGCCATCTGAGAGGACAAGAGCCAAGAGGAGATGTTTTTTGAGCGCGAGCAAAGTGGAAGTTGCAACAGCAGACACAGAGGAGCGCGAGAGACAAATGCTGGGAGAGAAAGACCTCTCGAACCAAATGGAAACCCTTTCACAGAATCATCATGTTGCTACCACACCACCTGCCACCTGCCACAAAATAGCGTGCCTTAGGCATACCAACCCGCTGAAGATTACCGGGCCTCGACCATGAACGTAGCTGTATGCTGGTGAGATTAGGGTGTAGGTTGTGCGCTTTTTCTCTGTTCTCCATGCGGTGAAAAAACAACAGCATATTTGCTGCATGTGATATGGGATGAGGTGGCTGCTTTGCCACTTGGTACAAGTTTGGATACCACGGTTGCCCTAAGCCATGTCTGATACACTGCCATAGTCAGGCGAAGCGCATCCGCATCAAACGGCCAGGTTTTCGTGCATACAGCTTGTTTTGCGCTTGAATTTTCTCCCCTGTGCCTTTGGGGGTTGAATTGTCCTTCGAAATGAGCTTCTGTGGATCACTACACTTACGTTCTTGTGTTACTGCCTGTACTCTGTGTGCACGAGCCCAACCATTGCTACAGACACAACGTACGTAAGTAGGTACGATCCAGTACGATCCTTCCTGGCATGCCAAGGCCTGTTGAGGCTGAGTGTGCATGAGCAGCAGATATAGGCTGTTGGTGCTCCGAAGGAACTGTTTTGTATCAAGTATCAAGCAACAGCATCTTCTGGAGTGCAATATGCCGGTGCGCCATCCTGCAGCTCCCATCCTACTCATAAAGCCGTTTGTCCGGGGGGGGGCGAACTCATGCTTTGCATTCTACAGTCGTTGTTAGACCACTGACCACGCGTTCTCGAGAGGACGAAGCGTTGTTCCCACAGTACCTATCACCGATGGCCAATCGTTCTTTCCTGTTTTACCAAAGATGGCTCAAGTGATTCCCTGTTTTATCTTACCCTACCGAAATATCACTTCCCGCCTTCTCAGTCTAGTTCTTCTATCCCAATTATAGCTACCGTTTCATCCTGGCTGGCTGCTCCATGCCTCAAACTTCTCTCTGCATTTTCCTTCTATTGTTCCCAGCTCAGTCATGTACATTTCCAAACTTTTTCAGAAATCGAACATGCGGAAACTACATGACCCGTTGTTCGCACTCTTGAACTGATCACCGTCGTTCTTCCTGAAATCTTCGTCCACATGCTCGAAGGCCAATGTTCCCAGTCCTAAAATTGACATTCAGGTATGTCCTTGCATCCATTGGTCCATGTAGGTGCTTCAAGCCTGTTCCTTCTTCATCAGTCCGTATGCTTCTAGACCCCCCTTTTCCCCGCTTTATTTCCGTAGATTCAGTTTTTCTCTCTCGGCTAAGGCCTAGTCTATTCCTATCGACCCCCCAAAAAAACGAATCGGTGACAATGATTCCCCGATCGGTCAATTAAAAGTCGGTGCGTTTATTGTTTGTTCTTATCATCATGTCACCACAAAAAACGTCTCTTGGCGCTGAATGCACGCCTTGCTTGGTGCACAACAGGTCCAAGCACAAAAATGAACACAGCCACAGAGGACAATACACTTGTAAAGACCCGTCCACCCGGCCTGCTGTATTTAGCACAGAGGGCAGGGGGCAGTGTCGCAAACTGGGTGTTGTTTGCGATTTCGTCATGTCCTCCCGCTCATTTTGCCCGTGGTGACCCAAGTGTGACATCCTTTTTTTACCACGCCCCTCCCGGTGTTTGCCATCGGGGTTGGGTTTTCGTCGCTTGTCAACGACGTTGTAAAACAAGCCGCCCCCCCCGGTGTTTGCCATCGGGATTGGGTTTTCGTCGGTTGGTAAAGACGTTGTAAAACAAGCCAATTCACTTCGTGTACTCGGCAACCAGGTTACCGTTTTTTTTTTTTACCTCCGTTTTTTTTTTTGGCGGTAACCATAATGGTGGTCGAGTAGATCATGCTGTGCGGGGTGGAGAACCCTCACTCCGCGCAAGGGGGATGATCGCACCACGTTGTGTCAAAAGTGGTCAAGCACCCTCGAGGCAGTTACACAGTGCTTACAACTGTCTCTGGAAGTGAAAGCACCAGAAAGTAAATTAAGTCATACGCAACTGTCATCCGTACGCAAGGAAGTAAGCACAAGATGCCGAAAACCCTTAACAGGATGTAGCGCACCCTTCATGCGACTCGCCGAATATCTCACGGCGCTTCGCGCTTGGTGATGTGAGAGCCTGGTCCGGTGAGAACCCGGCGTGNCCCCCCCCCCCCCCCTGTCGAAAGGTAGACGACCTTGACAATCATACATAGAGCGGCGGCGGCGCTGAGAGCCAGTATCATATATATCACCCATCGGAAAGAAGTAGCGTGTCGGAGGTCTCATTGCTCCACTGCTGCGTGGTGCCGTGGATTTGTGTTGCTGTGTCCGACCAAAAACAGGTCATTTCACCGCATGTTTTCTAACGGCAGTTTGGTGATGTGGCACACGTCGCTCACACACCTTCTTGAGCAGCACCCAAGCCCCCAATACCCACGAAGCAGCACGGCGCCGGGAGTGAGGATCATAAAGACAGCCGAACCGAAGGAATCAGCGCGTTGGAGGCCTCGGCGCTGCTGCTGTGTTCATTCTACTGTGTCCGTGTTTGTCGTGTGTGACGGAAAAAAATCCCCCCCCGTCAACAGCGGCAGTTGAAGACGAGAGCACCATGCAATGACTCGGTTTGGACAAACAACCACCTGAACGCGGCTACTGCCGCTTCTCTATCTTTGCAATAGGCCTGGACACACGTCACGCAGTCTTGCTAGCACTCTAAGTGGTACTAGCGCCCGCGGTGCGCCCGCCCGGTCCGTCAGTCGAAGTCCCGTATTTTTTCACGTTTCCGTAAATGGAACAAGTACGAAAAAAAACCTGCTCGCTCTTTTCACGGAAACATGAAAAAAATCGTCGGTATGCCTCCCTGCATTTTTTAAAGGGCTGATTCGGAACCTTTTCAGCGACTTTTGCTTCTGATAGGAATGAGCCTCAAGCAACAGATACCACTTTTTTGCACCCCCCTAGATGTACCGTTTCCAAGGAATCAACTACTTCAAGTTCGTCAATTTTGGAACGCCTTCCATACTTCCTCCACAACCTCACCCCATACTCTGTGGGCACCCTATATTCTTGTTTTCCGTAACTGCCGTTCGGGGGGGGAGCGCTCCTTGTATGTTGTTGAGAGGCTATATCCGAACACAAGATTCCTCAAGTGTGGGAGTTGCACTCGCGTAGGTTAGCACGATATTGGTGTGCGACAGGAACAGTTGTTGATACGTTATGTGTTCGCCGTTGTATGTGTCTTTGAGGGGCGAAAAATGTGCGAGTTGTCATATGATATGCATTTTCGGCAAACGAGTTGGTGCAGCCACGAGCCCACACCCGCCAATGGAGCACTCTATCTATCCATCAATTCCCATCAATTCAACATTTTCATCACTTACGCACGCACTGTTTGGTGACTCTCCCCGACCGCTTTGATCGTTCCCACTGCAGTCTTTTTGGAAAATGCATACCCCAGGAGGAAAGCGTTCAGGCGGAGAAAGATCTTGAGCATCAAATCGTTCAAGTCCTCGGGGCAGAATACCTGTCCCGCTGGGTTGTCGAGGTACGGCCCTTTCCGGCCCTTTCCGGCAGCGACAGTTGAGCTGCTTTAAAGCACAAAGTTGCGGCACCTGATATTGGCAAACAAACGAATCCCGCGTCTTCCGCCAATCCCTTGGAATTGATATCACTCAGGTAACGTATAAGCTAAAAAAGAGGACGAAAAAGGGAAGCACGAATGAGATGAAGCACGGCGTAAACCTAGCCGCTCCTTTTGTGGGGATGAAGAAGGAGGAGAACATCGAGTACCCGTTCGCCAAGCAGGTGCGCTCTGGCAGGCTCGAACCTGTTTTGCCGTTTGCACCAAAGCACGCCTCTGCAGCGAGCTGCGTGCTCGCATATGTCGCTTCGTTTGGGCTACGGTACCATCAGCTGTTTTTTTAACTGAGTACGTGTTTGTCCGCTGCTTGTTCCTTTCAAACCGATGGCAACCACCAAGACAGTTCTGTATTAGGAGGAACGACCGTGGCACTCGAGTGATGGTGGTGCAGGAGATGGCTGAAGAACCCTCGTGTGAGTTATCCATTGTTTCGCAGTTGGGGTCCGCTTGAACTGCGGGTTTTCCCAATGCTATTCGGAATTATGTAAAAGTATTACAAGTGAGCTTGAGCTCTGTAACGCGCCAGCATGGTCCAGACAACCACCGCTGAAACCTAGTGTACTGGAATTGCAGACACAGCTTTGCCCGAAGGAAAGCTGACTCACGTTTTGGAGGGGGAAGATCCTCTTGAGGCGATGGGCGCTGCAGCACGAGCAGGGTTGGTGACGAGGATCAAGGCTTCAATAGAGGCAAGTGTGTGTGTGGTCATCCGACTTATATGAGACATCAGCCGGGGTCACCCGGGAGCCTAGTGACTTTGGTTTTATTGCCTCACTTTCCTCCTTCGGTATGCACCACAAAAAAAGGCAAAAGACCCGGGCTTCGCCGTTCGGAATGACCTGGAGTGACCGTCACGTCATTTCGGATCGGCTATCGCCTTGGGATTCGCTGCTTCCCGCTACTAGCAGGAAAATGTAGCAAGGTGTGACCAGGACTCCCATATGTTCGATGCCCTGTGTGTTGTTCACGCTTTCGTCCAGGGCCATGCCTATCGATTAGGCGATTTCATAGTGCGTGTCGGCAAGTGCAAGAAAGGTGCCGTCTTCAGGGGCCTGGCGTTAGAGGTGAGAATTACATCTTTCCCCTCTGAGGGGTTGGTGCCTGGTACAAGCGGCGAATGTACACGGTCGAACCATGTGTAAACGTGCGCACATCCTGACATTCATTCGACAAGCGAGAGCGCCCTGGGTAATCAGGCGAGCCACGCATGGGTGATTGATTCCCAACAAAGGGCTCGCATCGTTAGCAAGGCTTTTTTTTCTTTAACCCTACCAACCCGTGCTTTGGCGGTGTCCCTCATCTTACAGGTGGAATACAGGCCTTGTAACAGAGTGGCAGACGGGTTGTCCATGATCGAAGCGTTCATTCCATCGATCGATCAAGACGGGACGTTTACAGCTGTATCCGATCTTCAAGATCTGGCGATGTTCGGCAGAGGTCCGCAGTTTTCCGTCAAACATAACGCTTTGCAAATAACTCACTTGTTCAACAAAGTTTTCGCTTAGAAACTGCGTGACTCTTTCCAAGGACCAATGGAACGGAGGGAGCGAGAAGCTTGCAACATCGCATTCATGTAGCTCCGACGCCCTGGCCACACATATGCCCGCAATGTCGAAGCAAGCGGCAAGAAGGATGGTAAAGGAAAACAACCGATGCATGTTTCTGCCTCGACGAAGGTGGGTTGCACCTTAGTGAAGCAACCGGGTCATCCCACGAGGCTACCAGCCACCCCTCTTAAGGATTGGTACACTTGATGTTGTGGGGCGCAAGGTGTGCAGTGTCATCCAAACTATTTACATGAGCCATTCCACACAGTTACCAACACGTGTGATCCTGTATCGGACAATATTAACACGAAAGCACCGGTGGCCGTCCGTCGGCGTGATGTGATGCAGATCATGGCTTCACGTCGCGTTTTCGCTGAGATGACTCGCCCGCTAGGTGAACCTGCGCGCAGATTAAAAACATGTAAAATACATGAACATGAACGCAGCGAAGTAAGCTGGATTCGGTATACCTAATGATTCTCTTTGAAGTTCCCACCGTACAAGAGGGCTGTTGAAATGCGCTGCGTAAATGCTCTGCGAGGGAAATAGCGAACGCTACACCAAGAGCTATGCATATTTCACCTGCATCTCGAAGACATCCACGGCTCCATCTTGTTTCACACTAAGCTGGATAGGCTTGCTCGCATCCACAGAGATGTACTTCTGGGGTGCGATATCCCGGTGGATCGACATGGAGTTTGAAGCACAACAAGCAAGAGTCCAGCCGCCAGCCGTGGAAGGAGTCAGTTTTCGGTGTTACTGTAGTACAAAACAGTGGGCAACCCCATATCAGGCCTGAGCTCGCTCCCTTTTGCACTGCTGTGCTGTCTAGTCCTTGTGGTGGGTGCGCAAGACAGCCTCCCTTGCTGTCCATGGCCTTGAAAACCAACCAAACCGATAAAAGGGTGACGGCGTCAGGCTCTCGGCCAAACGAAGCGGATTTTACTATTTTCGCAAGGGGGCGCCACGTGCTGCACGGTGGGCAATGGAACCCAAAAACTACAAACGCTTTATGGAATATGACTCGCCCGCGTTTCAGTGCGTTACCATGCCCACGAAAGGTGTTTTGTTCGATTCGCCTCCAAGGACTGTTGCGGCTTTATGCCGACTCTTCGCCGTTTTGTTTAGCGTGCGATTTGGTCTGATTCTGGCTGCACAGTGTGCGTGGAAAAGGATAGAAAGGATACCGCGGAACCAGCAACAACCGCATCAGTACCTTGCTCGGAACTACAGCAGTACTGCTGCTATATGCATGTGTAAATTGCGTCATCAAGGAACAAGAGCTCATCATTCAAATCCAACAGGATACGAATTTTTCGAGTAAAACAGAAAATCGATGAAAAAAATCGATTTGGGGAAGCAGTGGTCGGCACACGGCCATGTATTGTAAGAAGTGATGCATTGTGTATACACTTCTACGGACAAATGCATAAGGCCAGTCATTATCCAGAAGGTATCTCGGGATAGCAAAAACCCTGCGGAGATTCGGAACAACACCAATTGACCTTCACCTGATGTACATTTGTTTGATACTGCTGTATGTATTGTACGAAGTACTGAACGAAAGGAATGCACCTACATATACACTGCTGTATGCTACGATCGGAGACGGCAGTGTGAGTGCGTGCGTGGTACTCGGGTCTGCTTTATCGATGTCAAATCTCACAGGTGATAGGATTTACGATCGGTACGCGTTTGCTCTCTATAGTGGAACCCACCTTCACGCACTCATACACCTCTGCCTGTAATGCCTTGAGATCGATACCCTCGAGCAGCACGTCTCCTCGCTGATGTGCCAAGATAATAGATAAACGTTCACGGGCAACACCACGTGATGTGGCATTCGTGCTAACCCCGACGAGCCCAAGCCTTGTCTTTATGCCAGTCAGCACACTCATTCTTCGCCCCGGCACGGGAAGGCAGGACACACCAATCAAGAACACCAGCACACCAGCACATGCACAACGGCAGACCAGCAGCAAACCAGTACACACCATGCACACCTCGAGCAGGAGGGGGCACAGCGGCAACGTTATGTCTATCTACTGACGGACCTCAATTTCGTCCGGGTCTCCCCCGAAAGGCTGCACCGCATGCGCCTGCCTGCACCACACTCCCGCCGAGGCCAACACACACTCCGTATCCACTCGACAATCCGGTTACCATGAGTGAGGGAGACTACCGTGTTGCTGACATCTCGCTGGCTGACTTCGGTCGCCGCGAGATCGATATCGCTGAACATGAGGTAAGAAATGGAGCGATTTCGTGGACACGAGCTGCCCATAATATTTTCCCTTTTTACCCATGAACTTGAGCAGCATATGCATACCCGCATTTGCCTTTGTGGGTAGGGCCTGCTTGGTTTCCACGCGGGAGCAGCTACCCATTCGGTCAACCCCCGCCTTATGCGTACAGTTTGCGAGGTTATCGTAGCGCATGCTGCGCATGCTGCGCGCCCCTACATCATTGATACGCGAAATATGCAATTTCGCACCCGCCCTGCCACGTCCTTCTAAATATACACATCCCTTCGCCGCCACGTACCTTGAATCTCCTCGCTGCAGATGCCCGGGCTCATGTCCTGCCGTGAGGAGTTCCCTGGCCAGCTCGAGGGTGCCCGTGTGTCTGGATCCCTGCACATGACCATCCAGACGGCTGTCCTGATCGAGACGCTGAAGGCCCTGGGCTCGGACATCCGTTGGTGTTCGTGCAACATCTTCTCCACTCAGGATCACGCAGCAGCAGCCATCGCCCGCGACGAATCTGCCGCAGTGTTCGCCTGGAAGGGCGAGTCGCTTGAAGAGTACTGGGAGTGCACCCTCAGTGCTCTGACATGGCCGGAGGCAGACGACAAGGGCACCGGACCCGACATCATCGTTGACGATGGCGGCGACATGACCCTGCTGATCCACGAGGGCTTCAAGGCTGAAAATGCCTACGAGAAGGACGGCACTCTCCCCGACCCGGACTCGGCAGGAGACAACGCGGAGTTCAGGATCGTGCTGACCATCATCAAGCGCGAGCTTCCCAAGACTCCCAGGAAGTGGCACGAACTGGCGGCGCGCTGCGTGGGCGTTTCAGAGGAAACCACGACTGGTGTACACCGCCTGTACCTGATGGAGAAGGACGAGAGCCTCTTGTTCCCGGCCATCAACGTCAACGACTCGGTCACCAAGTCCAAGTTCGACAACCTGTACGGCTGCAAGCACTCCCTCCCGGACGGCCTCTGCCGCGCGACCGACGTCATGATCGCCGGGAAGTCCGCCGTCATTTGCGGCTATGGTGACGTCGGTAAGGGATGCGCCCAGGCCATGAAGGCTGCCGGTGCCATCGTGTACGTCACGGAGGTGGACCCCATCTGCGCTCTTCAGGTCAGTGGAAAATACACGAGTGGCGCGTTCGTTTTACCCCAAGAGATACATGAAACCGAGTTCATATTTGTTTTTATTACAATGAGTCAACGAGTTCAAACGTTGCCGGCTGCGTGTGGCCTTGAGGCCGCCTGCGATCAAGTTCACTTCAACAGCATGGCGTTGCTCGTCGTAGATCGTCCCAGCGACTGTTTCTAAATTTGCACACCGTCGCGACTCCTGATGAAATAATCAATAGTTTCGTCACATGGTCCTTACAACTTTGCCAGCCGGCGTTGTTGTTCTCTTGTTGCTCACTTCGTAAATCAGCGCTCACACCCGCGCAGCATCACTGCCATGTCATAAATACGGGAGCTCCAATCCCCGTTCCTCCTCCTGAGCCCCTATTCCCTTCCCTCCTGCGGTGCGTGCCTTGGTTTTAAACTCCCGACGATATCCGCTTAGCGCATCCACACACAGTCGCGATATCTGCTACAGGTTGACGCAGTTAACATGGTCTTGTTACAGCAGTAATACGTATTCACTGGAACGTTCCACCGTGGATATTTTCTCGTGGTATCGGGAAAGACAAAACAATCATGAAAGCAGTCACTGGCGACTCCGGTATCTTGTATCTTAACATCAACCTAAACCGGTCGCTCCCGTGGCGAGCGGTCTTGGACTTACGGGTTTGTCTAGACCCACCTGTCGACATGCGCTGCTCCATGTTTGCCTCGTGAAGGAGGGCTCACCACGATTGTCACTGAACTCATTGTGTAGCTGGTGAACCGATCGCGTTGGTGCGTCAGACCAAACAATCATGGCAAGCCGTGCACCTGTACTTGAAAGCGCAGCGTGCAATCCACCACAGTACGGGGCATCCTGACTTCTTGACCTTCACGTCCCTTCACCATCTCAACTCGTCGTGCGTCAGGCTGCGATGGAAGGCTTCCGTGTTGTGAAGCTCGACACCGTCGTGGGCACCGGTGACATCTTCATCACCACCACCGGGAACAAGGGAATCATCATGGCCGCGGACATGGCCAAGATGAAGAACAACGCCATCGTGGGCAACATCGGCCACTTCGACAACGAGATCGACCTCGCCGGCCTGGTCGCCACCACCAAGCAGCTCAACATCAAGCCGCAGGTGGACAAGTTCATCTTCGACGACGGCCACGCGATCATCCTCCTCGCCGAAGGGCGTCTGCTCAACTTGGGATGCGCCACTGGGCACCCCTCGTTCGTCATGTCCGCGTCGTTCACGAACCAGACACTGGCGCAGCTTGAGTTGTGGAAGGAGAAGGAATCGGGCAAATACGCGCGTGGCCACGTGTACGTACTGCCGAAGCTGCTCGACGAGAAGGTCGCCCGCTTGCACCTCAAGTCTCTCCAGGTGGAGCTCACCGAGTTGTCGACCGAGCAGGCTGACTACATTTCGGTCAAGAAGGAAGGCCCGTTCAAGCCCGACACCTACCGTTACTAAGCGATATTCGATAGCGTTTCGTGCTTCACCAGTAGACGTTTCCCCCGCATCCTTGCCAAGTAGATATCGGGGAGTTGATTCTTTTAAGCAAGGTTGCCAGGGATGCCGTAGATTTGGCTGTTTCCCGCTGCGGTGGCATGTACACCCATTTCAACGTCAAAGGTTGTGGAGATAGATTCGAATCCAAGGATATACTAAAAACGTGTTTCCCACCATGTTTTTTATTTGTGTGCCAGTCGGGGCAGATTTCAAAGCGAATGATTCTCCGCGATAACCAAGAAGGGCTTTTGATGCGTCCGATGGATTCCATGTTCGCTGTCCACCGCCCACCGAACAGCCCTTCAACCGAAGTTTCAGGCCGTTTCTGCATCGTGCGTTTTCTCTAACGAATACATCTTACTTGGTTGTAACACGCTCCTTCGACAGTGGCACATATCCACTACCATTATTTCCAAAAAGTGGACGAAGTGTGCAACCAAGATAGATCGGGCTAGAACGGAGAGATAGTGCAAGCTTACTGAAATGAGCCGTAGACTTGAAAATTCCGTACAATAGCGACACGTGATCTACTTCTTGATGTATAAATATAGACAAGGAGCAGTCGCCCACGAAGGTCTCCATAACTCTTATCGATGTTGTCTTTGGCGGGTTTGATCTGACGCGAGATTTTCCTGAAGCGCAAGCCGAGACTGCTTCCCGTAAGCCTCACTACAAGTAATTGCTCTGAGTAATAGGGTAAAGAAAATGAATCTTACAGCTTGAATCATCACTGAGCTTTAGCCTGTTCACCGACCAGCGTCAAGATGGGTTCAGCACAGCATACACGTTAGGCGTACGAAGCACTGGGGTCGTTCAACATGATCAACCGGAACACCAACTGGAAGTTCGAGTTCTGCATGGATTCGGGACGAACCACAACTTTCAAGCACACTGGAGTAACAAATGTGAAACGAAACGCGTACAGTTGCGCTAAAGCAAACCCCCGCTGACGATAACAGGAAAGGAATATGCACATTTCCGAAACGAAGTGACACCACAACGATGCACTGCACGTGCGTGACCAGAAATTTAGTCACACCATGTTCGATCTGAGAGATGACATACATTTGCGAAAGGAACAAAATCTCCGCTGTTTGCACCTTGTTCACCACAAAACTTAAATCAGGGCACAACCTCTGTCGTAGTCTCCTGCAAAGCAGGAATCCTCTGTCCATGAAAGAGCGTTCATGAAATTTCTTCATGCTTAGATCCCGCAAGACCCGACGGCTAATCGGTAGAGTAATCAATGTGCACGGTCGAGATTAGAGAGGTCGATGTGATCACAAAAACACAGGACTCTTTCTCGAATTTTCTTGAACTCTCTGGTGCTGATCCCCTTGGAACCCGTCTGACAAGCAGTCAGGCTTCACATGCATCAAGAGGTCGTCAGTGCCAATTTTGCGAATGTACGAAAAGCCTGCAGGGACGCCGCACACGTACGTCCCCTCAGCGGTAGTTTGTCTTTCAACTTTGTCCTGAGAAACACCAGTATCCCTTGTCCTAAGCAAATCTAATCAAAATTTGGCCTCTCTCAACGTTCTAGATCAAATGTTTCAAGTACACGCCCATGGATTCTCCGAGGTATTCGCCGATCTCGTCCTTGGTCACCCAAAGGTGTTCGGCTGCTTGCCTCTTGACCACAGTTGGTTGCCCACAAATGAGCTGCACCCGGTTAATGAACACCTGTGCGACAGCGACAGCAATGACGGGTCAACGTTGCAGGTTTCTCGTGGTCCCGACCCGAGACAACGCCACCGGAGCCACGCGCTTCGTCAGACGGAAACAACTGCCAGGGCCTCCTCAGTGGCAAACCAAATGAACACAGCCTGGTCCTATGCATAAGTTCGTGGATTTCGGTTGTTCCGATTTCAGAATCATACACTACAGTGGACACAAAATCTCGACGCAAGCACCCTGTTGGTCATTCTCCCCACACCACTGGGAGACGCGTGACCTTATCGCCATGATGGTCATCCCAACACTGCTCTAGCAGAGGATCATAGGATTCTTTCTTCAAACAAGGTCGTAATTTCATGCAACGGACGTCACTTGGCGAACAAACGTTGACAATTCACACCCAGAGGCGGTCGGTCGACAAATGGTTCAGTTCTCCCACAATGAATCAGCAAGCATCGGGATTGGAGGCAACGTTCTAGCCGTGCGCGTTGACGTCGCATCACAACGCAGGATCGCCAGTCACCTTGTCTCCAAACTCCCCATGTTGCCCCCTTTGTTCTTCATTTGCTGTGCGCCAGAACCAGCCAGCCGGACAGTTTCCAACGAAGTGCAGCTGAGCCACATCGTCCCGCTGACCCTTCCGAGTGGCAGTTTTCAGTAGCAGTTGTTGTGCAGTTCGCTCTGCTGTTTGGCGAATAGTCTCTCCCGGCTGGCAGCAAGAAAAAACACAACGCAAATGACCACGTGTTTGTCGTTACATAACGATGCCTAACAGCAGCAACATGCGCCATTCATTTTCCGAAATGCACCCAAAACATTACACCGTTTGGCCCTGCCGCAAACACCCACGTGGTAAAACAATTACTCTCATTTGGTGGTAATTTCCAATGAACAATTGAACTGCTGAACAAAACAACTCAAGTTTTAACAGTAACAGTACTCTGCGTACAGCGAACGACAATTGACGAGTGACGAATATGCGCTCGTTGTCAATCGCTGCCGCAACAATAAAATGCCTGCAGGCGACGACCGGATGAACAAAGCTGTGCGATGAGTTGTCTGAAGGTCACTCACAATAATTACTTGTCTGCAGACGAATGACAAAAGTTCTGAGTGCCAGGGTCCTCGGGTGCCGAAAAAAAAACTACAAGAGCGCCGTGCTCCGTGCCTCTTGGTGCTGTATGGTGCCAACAGCTACCACAACGATAGACATCTAGGAGTGCTTTAATGTAGTTGTTCACCACGTGCCCAAACGTGTCTGCCAATTACTACTGGGCGACATTTTCTTGTGGATGACAAACTGTGCAAATAATTTTTTACACCGAGTAGAAAGAAAAATTGTTGCGGCTGTGCATAACACAGATTTGGAGGTCGATATTGTTTGGAAACACGACGCGAAGCACATGTTTACTCATTTTAGCTCGAAACTCAATGCGGTAATACCAATGAACATGTAACAAGATCAGACCCTCTCACCTCCCATGCACTCTCAGGAAGACGCCACTCATCCCCACTTCTAGGCTTGACGATCAACACTAGTCGCTCGTCAAGTGCCCTATCCAAGGTCGTGCGGTCGTTCGACTCGTCAGCAGGAGTCCTGAGGAGGAAAATGACGTTTTTACACCAAAGGAATCACAATACCAAGGGACTCAGTCACCAGAGTCTTCACGCAATGCCAATCAAGCTCATGTGCATCTCGCACTCCTTGCAAGTGTTGCCGGAAATGCTTAACTTCGTTTTGATCAACCGTTATGTTACAAAAGCCTGCGGACTCGGCCGCCGCAGAGCAACGGGATTGAGCAAACATTTCATCGTAGATATCGCGATTTGATGCACACAAATACCCGCCTGGTTCAACGCGTCGAGGACTGATCTGAACAATACCGGAAAACATCGACGAACTCACTAGCTACAGTTGGTGGGAATTGAAATAAGAGCAAGCGTACCAAGCCGCACAACTACACTTGTTCGCAGCAAGCACCTGAGAAGGCCGCGGGGCAAACATGTATCGTAGTTCAAATGTCAGTCCGCGTTATGAGATGTTTCGCCTGAAGGGGAACGGATTGGTCACAGAGAGCGTTTACAAAGCGCTGCTCCCAAAGTCGAACACAGCCAGCGAGTTCATGTCGTGGAAGATGAATTTCAGTACATGCGACGTGTCAAGACCGCTCAGAACCGTCAAAATCGATAAAACGCCATCCCACGCCTCGCACGACCATACACGGACCGGGTTAACCAACCACAGCAAAACAAGCAATGTCCAAAGCTCAGCAGCGCCGCGGAGTCCTTGCTTCCGTTCGTGATGTGAGGGCGTGCGTCGACAACAAGGAGCAGCAGCAGCAGCAACACTCAAAACTTCCAGAGCTGCTGTCGACGAAGCTGCCAGTGTAAAGCCATTCTCATGCAGCTCTAGCTCAGGATGAACCCCAGCGGTGTGTAGTATGAGGAAAGAGGAAGGGGGTACGCAGACCCAAGCCGTAACCCACCTTATTCCTGATTTGCATGCTTTATCCAACATGTTTAGGCCGTGTACCAACAAAGCGTCGAAAATCAAAATCAAAACGGGTGATCGTGGAAAACTGAAAAAGGGGGTCGACCATGTTAACGTGGGTAGGAGACAGATGGGGAGAAAATTCAACAAGACCAGGCGCCAGGGGAAGAGCCAGCAGCGAAGCGGTGATTTTTCTAGGGTAGGCTTTGCGCTCTTCTGTCCACGTGTTAGCCGATATCTCGCCAAGTAAAGAACGAGTTGCCTCAAGAACGGTGTCTGGAAGGAGCTGGTACCATGGGCTGTTTTGGGCAATGCCAAGGTTTGGCGCCGTGAGGTGCCGAATGCGCCAGAAAACAAAGGTTGCATTGAAGCAGAAATGCCAACGGTCGCGAGCGGTCCCTTCAAGTTCGGTGATTTACGCTGCCACGGGTTTGGTTATCCACCGATAACTTTTCGAAGGAGGAAGCAACAGTATTAGCGATGCCACGCGGCGGGAGGTAGCTCCACCCGCCATCTTGTACAAGGTTAGATGCCTTGGCGTATCATGAGTGGAGAAAGAAGGTTGCAACTGTACCATCTCCCGCACGGAACAGTCGAAAAACCTGGGCAGCCCTGTTTTGATCGTCAGTCCATTCACGGCTTGTCACGATCGGCATTTTCCCCTCGAGCACCCAACGAGCTGGCCCGGTTTTAGGCTTGCCGGCGAGCATAGTCTTCTGGCTACAAACATGGCCATGGTCTCGGTGGTTGTAGGATGCCGATAGCCTCTCTTGCGAGCAGTGTGCAGGTCGTGTCGTGCACTTTCTTCGCAGCGGCCTCGCAGCAAGTGCTCGAAGCCTTCGAAGTCTTGATTTCCTTGCCTCTTTCATTTTGACTTTGATAGAAAAAAGTCCCTTAGAGACTTCTTCCCAGAGAGATGAACTTCCAGCAAATCAATAGGCGTCGTCACGAGGTACAAGTGTTTCGACCAATCAGAGCTCTATTTTGATTTTGATTTTTTTTTAGTTTGATCATTGGCGCTTCGTTAAAATACGGCCTTACTTAGTCGAAACACTCTGTGAAGGCTACTGCTTTATAAGGGCATTGCTGTTGTGAATGTATACCAAGTAAACTCGGAGTTCGGGTGCTAACAAGCGTCGTCACCACCCGCCACCGCCGAAATAGCTTGTTCAAATCCAAAGTCCATCAACAGCATGAGTTTGGATCTTCGAATCCAAGGCATGCGTGCTTGCTGACCCTCTTACCGTCGAGGCGCGAGAGGGACAGGGCTTTGCTCCAGGACCTGCTCCATAGACAGAGACTTCTCGTCATCATACTTGAAGCCCATTTCGGCGGGGAATTTCGCGCCGTAGTGAGCTTGCTTGGTCTGAAGATCCCAGAAGTCACGCTGCCAATCAGTGTAGTCCTCTACGATCACGGGGAGGCGCTCCAGAATCCTACATCAATCGGCATGACACACAAACGTGTGTGAGAGCAGGACAGCGCGAACTTCTGGCGAGAGGGTGCTACGAGATGTGGTGCAGTGCCTTAAACCACAGCGCGCCTACCGTCTTGGATCATATTACAACTGAAGTACTTGTGTGAGGCATATTAGTGAACTCACAGGGCACTCCTGATACCCCAATCCAGACCAAGACTTGTCGCTTTTTCCTGCTCTGCCTCGAAAGCAGCTTGTCGCTCTGCCAGGTACTGCTTCCGCTTTTGCTTTGCAACACGAGGTCGTGGAGGCCTCCGGTCCTTGATCGTGAACCCCTCGATCTGTTGCTTCTTCGTCAAGTTCGACGAGCTCAGTTCTCGGCAATTAGGTGCTGATAGCACCGCCAGCGGCCGCAGCTTAACTCTTCGTACGGCAGAGGATGTAAGCACCGTACATCGTCTAGCGAACATGATTTCTTGCAGGAGCAACAACTGTGCCAAGGCGCTACGGCTGTGCTCTACTTGTAGGCTCTGCTTGGCTGACTGGACTCTGCCGTCCCAGCACGCAGCAGTAAGGGGGCACCGCAACAACTTTTATCACGTCCACGGAGGTTACCTTTCCACCCATATATCTGCGAGGACCCCAACGTTTTATGTTCGGTTGTTGTTGTTGTTGTCTTCACATTAAAAACCATCCCGGTCTCTCTATCCAGTACCTCCTTCTGTCTCAATCTCTCCGTACTAATCCAGCACTTGACTCGGTCAATTTCCGTGGTCACAGGCTAACGTACCTAGAAAAGGTATACCAAAATAAAATGGACCCCAAGGGTTAGCAGAGCGATAAAATACAAGAAAAAAACAAAAGAATCAGAAACAAATAAATAAATAAATAGTGGAACTCAGAACATTAAATACCGGTCGCCCCGGTGGTCTTGCGGGTAACCTCGCAGCTTGCTAAGGGCCAGGTCATGGGTTCGAGTCCCGGCAGAGTGAGTTTTTTTCTCACTAAATAGATCCTGGTCTAGGATGAAAGCGACGCGTTGCAAAAAGCTCGTTGTTAGTAACCATAATCGGCTTCGTAAGTCGCGAGGGAAGGGATTGCTGTACCCTTCTACCTCGCGAAAAAAATACCTCAGGCAGGAACCGCAGGAGGGTGTCCAGCCCCCCCCTCCTATGTGCAGACAGACCCCGGTTGGGTCGTCTGGCTAGTAGAAGTGGAGGATAAGGGCCAGAGGGGCAGACGACAGAGTCCA